CCTTGGAAACCCAAGGAGGGGTCACTATGAGTTGGGTCTGACTCGACGGCACATAACAATAGCAACAACAACAATAATATTTAAAGTTATGGCCTGTAATTTCTATATCATCTCTTCTTCCATGGTCTACAGGTCTTGTTTCTGAACAATTTCATTTATTACTCTTTTGCATTTGGAAATGGAAGCCAAAGGCAGCTTGGGCTGTCCTCAAGAGTTGTGCTGAGCTCAGAAGCTTGGCCTTTACCTCCAGTGGCCTCCCTTCTTCAGGTTGGTCATGCTGTTCATTTCTTGATCTGCAAAGTCTGCTTTGAATGTTTTCGCCTTCATTTTTTGATGGGCATCTTGAAATAAACTCACATTCTTTATTCTTTGCTCTGAAAAAGCTCCATTAAAAGAAAATTCCTCAACCACCTATACGTTCTTATCCAGTTAATGTTTACTATTCCAAATGAAGTCCACAACTATTTTATTTATTTATGTATTTTGTGATATATTGTGGTATAGTGCCTAAGGCATCTGTCTGCTGACCAGAAGGCTGGCAGTTCAAACCCACCAGCCACTCCTCGGAAAGAAGGTTGGGCAATCTACTTCCATAGTGATACTGCCTCGGAAACCCAAGGAGGGGTCACTATGAGTTGGAATCGACTTGACAGCAGTGAGTTTGGTGTTTGGTTTTATATAGTTCTTGCTTTATCTTCTTGTCCATCACCTTTACATCCACAGAAACCTCTCATTCATTCTTTCACAGCACATCCACCCAACATACAAGTACCAGAATATCAGAGCAGCTTTGACTCACAGTTCTGTTTATTGAGGGAACAAACATTTTAGTTGAGAGAGTGAAGGATCAAGTGACCCAGGCTGTTTGCTCTTTTTTCAACAAAAAGCAAAAATAAAACCAAATCCACTGCCATTGAGTCGATTCTGACTCATAGTGACCCCACATGTAACAGAGAAAAATGCTTCATAGGGTTTTCTTAGCTGTAATCTTTATAGAAGGGTATCACCAGGCCTTTCATCCACAGTGCTGCTGGGTGGGTGTGAACTGCAACCTTCAGATCAAGAGACAAGTGCAAACTGTACCACCCAGGGACCTTTTCCTAAATAAAAAACCAAACCAAGCCCACAGCCATCAAGCCAATTCCAACTCTCAGTAACCCTACAGGACAGAGTAGAACTGCCTCACAGGGCTTCCAAGGCTATAAATCTTTAGGAAGTAGACTGCCTCATCTTTCTCCCACAGAATGGTTGTATGTTTCAGCTGCTGATTTTTTTGGTTAGTAGCCCAATGCTTTAACCACAGTGCCACCAGAGCTCCTTTACCCAATAAAAGAGGGATCTAATAACAAGCAGAGATCCAACTAATAATGTTCAGACACTACATTATAGACTCTTCACCAAACTCCATACCTCAAAAAAAAAAAAAAAAAACCTCACTGCCATTGAGTCGATTCCGAATCATGAGGTGACCCTCATTGGGTTTCTGAGATGGTAAATCCTTACAGAAGTAGATTGCTCCATCTTTCTTCCAAGGAGTAGCTGGTGGGTTTTTACTGCCAACCTCCTGGTTAGCAGCCAAATGCTTTAGGCACTACACCACCAGAGCTCCCTCAACTCCATACCTACCAAGAAGCATTTTGACAAATATGTGCTGTGTTAAAAATTGGGTACTGTGATATTAGCACTTCAAATAAGAAAATGTAATTCCTACCTACAAGAAACCTAGAGGAAGACACAGACACACAACACAGATTACAATATAATGTAGTGAGTGCATCAATCAATGCACGTATACACACATCCATTCATTTCTTGATGGCCTGGTCTGTGCTGTACAGTGGAGATACAGTGGTTAACAAGATAAAATCCTTGCTTTCATGAGTTCACATTTCAGTGGGGGTGGGGGTGGTATTAAGTACTTTATTTATTTATTTTGGTATAAGTTTTAATGTCTCTTTAGTCTTTTTTTTTTTTTAGTTTTTACTGTGATTTGGGTGAAAGTTTACAGAGCAAATTCACTTTCCATACAACAGCTCACGTACACTTTGTCTCATGACACTGACTGCAACTTCGCACTATGCAACAGCTCACCTTCCACTTTCTTCTCATCATTACCTCTCCCTGTGTCCTTCCCTCCTATGCACTCCTGCCCCCAAGCTGTCACCCGTGCATACAGAGTCCTTCTATGCTTCCATGATTGATCTTTCTAAGAAGTGTATCTACCTAATGTAAATGTTCAGCTCATATGCCTGTCTTTTGTTTGGCTGGAAGCCACAGGAGTGGGTTCAATTCCAGACCTGAAGGGGATCTAGGGACCATAGTCTCAATGGTTCCATCAGGCTCAACCTATTCCCTTTTTTTAAATGATTTTAAGTTTTAGTACACATTGTTCTCCCACTCTATCCAGGATGTCCTACATAGATTCCCCTCTGAGTTACTGACTGTGGTAGCTGGGCACTATCTAGTTCTTCTGGTCTCACAGTCGTATAGACTGAGGATCGCCATGGTGTCCAAGTCGCTTGGACTAATTGTTTCCATGTGTCTTTGGTTTTCTTCATTCTTCTTAGCTCTGGAGAGGAGAGACCCATCATTGCTTCTAGATGGCTACTTGTAAGCTTTTAAGCTCCTAGTCACTAAGGTAAGTGCTTTCAAAGTGTTTAATGAATAAAATTAAAGAGGGGCACTGGACAGTACCTAAGACAGGGCTGAAAGGTGACAACTGGCCTGAGAGGCCTGAGGGATGACAAGGACTCAGCCAAGTGAAAACCCATCCCCAAGCCCAAGGAAGACAAACATGGTAGCCCCAAGGCAGGCATAAGCTTGGCAGGAACTGGTTTGGTGTATCTGCAGCAGGAAGGTCAAGTTGAAATGTACAATAAAGGGAGAATGGAAAGAGATAAAGTCAAAAAGAAAAAAAAAAGGCTAGACATTTTAGGGCAGAGTAGGTCAAGTATGGAGTTTTGGAGGCAAGTGATTTAGCAGGGGAGTGACATGAGTTTGACTCATGATTTTTTTAAGAGATCCTTTTGGCTTCTGTGTGGATAAGGGACTGGAATGGGAACAAGCAGGCTAGTTAAGAGGCTTCTGAACTATGAGAAATGATGGTAGCTGGAATGAGGATGCTGGCAATGGAGATGGGGAGAAGTGGATGGATGCAGGACGTATATCTGTAGTTACAAGTTATCAAGTCAGTTCTGACTTGTGGTGACCCCATATGTGTCCAAGTAGAACTGTGTCCCTAGGGTTTTCAATAGCTGATTCTTCAGAAGTGAAGTACTTTGGATGCACCTCTGGGGTGGACTCACGCCTCCAACCTTCGGTTAGTAGCTGAGCACGTTCACTGTTTGCAGCATTCAAGAACTATCATAGTTGTTGCAGGAATTGAAAAGACTTGCTGACTGACTGGAAGGGGATAAAGTGGGGCTTGAAACGGAACAGTGATACCATAGGAGGGAAGCTCACCTCTACCTAGAGAGGGGAGAACCATGTCAGGGAACACTTTCTCAAAGAGGTAACATTTCAGCACAGTCTTAAAAGTAGGGAGGAGTTCTCCAGGCAGTCAAGAGACTGGAAAAGAACTCCAAGTAGAAGAAACGGTATACTGAAGGCATGGAGAGGGGGAGTTCCGAACTGTGTTGTTATTTTCCATTAGGACGTTTAGAGTATTATGATTATTATTACTATCATTCATTTAAAATCCTGATGCAAAACTCTGGCATTATCAGATTCTGAAAAGGCTGGATCTCTTTATGGCATGTTTCAGAAACAAGATGTAGCTGTTTATTTGCATTAATAAATATTTACTGAGTCCTACGATGTGCCAGGCAGCACTGTGCTAGAACGCAGTCCAGTGGTGAAGTCCCACATCCAGTACCAAGGTTACAAAATTATATAATCTCAGTTTGGGTAAGTGCAGTGAAAGAAAAGTACAATGAGACTGGTTCTAAAAAGAGAACCTCACCTACATGAGAGGCAGTTAAAAATAAGGCTTCCTTGAAGGAAAGGCTTTTAAACTGACACCTGACTGCTGTGTAGGAGTCACCCACATAAAGAAGTCTGGGACCTTTGTCAGGCAATAGAATAAAGGGGAGGATTGATAAAGCAGAGAGAAAAAAAGGAGTTGGTGAAAAGGTAAATTTGATTTTCAACTTTAGGTAACAAGTTGTCCAGCCTGCAAAACTACAGGTTAGACTCCCACAAACGGGAATGTAGTGTATCAGGTTTGCTGACAGGCTCCTAACCTGTTTTCTGGACTTTGTATCTTATAGGAAAAGATCTCCTTAAATGCTTTTTTTAAAAAAATGTTTTTTATTGTGTTTTAAGTGAAAGGTTCTTTTAACAATGTTTATACAACTTGTTCCAGTGTCACTGATTACAATTTTCACAATGTGTCAGCATTCTCATTATTTCCATTCTCTTTGTTCTGTTGCCATTAATTTAGCTTCCCTTCCCTTCCTTGCCTTCTCATGTTTGCTTTTGGGAGAATGCTGACCATTTGTTCACATATATGAGCGATACTGTTTACGTTATAAACCAATTTATTATTTAGCTGAAATCTCCTTAAACTCTTGCACTCAAAACTCACAAAGTGAAAAAGTATTCCTCAATCTTTCCAAAACGGCCAAAATTTTTCCCCAGGGCCACAGTCTGAAAAGTGAGGCCTAGCTCTAAAAAGAAGAAAATCTCCCTAAAGGATGGCACCTGGCTTCACATGCTTTTGCCCATTCTCCCTAGACTTCCCTACTAGCTTCCTACTTCTGATCGAGGAGTCTGAATGAATCATGTTGGATGGGATCTTAGAGCCACCACCACGACCTTTCCGCACAGGATGCAGGTGTGAGGCAGGCAAGGTGTGCACAGAAGGCAGAGGCGGCGGGAACCCAGGAGCCGCTAACCGCGTCCCAGCGCACCTGGAATCCCACCCTCGGCATCGCACGTTCACTCAGGCCGCGACCCCCAAGGCTCCGGTGGCCGAGGGCCTCCCCCACGCCCCGGCTCACCCTTCTCCTTGGTTATGATGGAGATGAGCGGCACCCGCGGGCGGTCGCTGAAGACCTCGGCCTGCTGCACCAGCGCCTCGCGCACGCTGTGGAAATCGTTGAGGACCACCACCTGGTAGTGGCCAATGAAGAAGCTGAAGATGTTGCCGTACACACAGGCCAGGTGGGCCATGAGCACATGCTGGCTTACAGCCCCGGGCTCCAGCCCTAAGGCCCTCACCTGGCGGTACACCCAACTGTGCCGCCGGAGGAAAGGCGGCAGCAGGACATAGCCGAAGTTGCCTACCAGGGGCCAGGGCGTGGGGCCGGGTGGGAAGCCTCGCGCCGGGTGCCGCCGCGCCCAGCTCCACCCCAGCAGCGCCACCAGGCCGAGCAGCAGCAGCTCGCTGCGGGTAGGGTCCAGCTGCAGCAGCCCAAGGGGCTCAAGTAAGAGGCTCAGAGGGCTGGGCAGACTCTCGGCGGGGGCCTGCGGCGGCCCCGGGGAAGCCATGGCTGGTGCACCGGCGATCGCACCCGTAGTCCTTGGTTCCACAGCCCTCGGCTTTTCTACTGTGTGCCTTGGGATTCTAGCTGACTCTTAACTAGGAGACACTACAGCAGATGTCTACGGTCCCTTCCTCTTTCATAACACCCCCTTCCCGGCGCTGCCTGCAGCCAACCCTTCAGAGAGGTCGGTGCCTGAGAGGAGCGGCAAGAGCGCACCGGATTGGCTGCGCCCACCGTATTATCACCGCTTCCACCAATCAGCGACGTCCGAGCTCTAGGGACGTGCCCGCAACCCGGCAGCAGAGCTCCGCGGCAGACTCAGGCGAGTAATGTGAAAGTGCTTCGTAGTCTGGTAGCGCCTTTGCTCTAGATTCTGGTTGAGGGTGACCGCCCTTGAGATAGGGGATGCTTTGAACGCAAATCTTGCGCTCTGAGTGGCTGTGGGGTTTCCTTGTGTCAATAATCAGTTCACAACTGAGCGCGTAAAGCGTACCAGGTTGTACTGAATCCCGGAAGACTGTTACAAACAGCGCCCTGAGGTGACTCAGTCTCAACACTAGCATCTCTGCCTTATTGGGGAGAATGAGGTCCCCACCCCATCTCTCAAAAGATTTTGGTGTAAAGTGTCTGTTAATAAAAAGACAAAAAAAAAATCCAAACCAAGATTCACAGCGAGGAAGAACTATTTCCTACACCCAGAGGCAGCATCAGGGTAATGGACAATCATTGGAAGTAGAATTTGGTGTTGCTGACCCCCAAAGCTGCAGAAAGGAGACAGTAAAGCAAATATCCTTGCAAAAGTTGAAAGTTTGGAGTCCATTTTTACTTGTGGCTTCAATAAGCAGAAGATCTAATCTGGGAGTAGATAAACAAGAATTTTCTTGGGGAATTTACGTAACTAATACTGTGGTTGTGCTATTAAGTATAGAATTATATAATACTGTTAAAGTCTTAATCTTTTGTAATAGTAGTTCCTAGTTGCTTCAATTCCTGTCTTCTACAGGCCAATCCTTTGGTTTCTCTTTATATTATGTTGACAAATGTGGAAATGCCGATATCAAACATCTTTTATTTACTAAAAGGTGAGTTTCATATGTCAATCTAATTGATGATAATGGACAAATCTATTTCTTGACTTCTGTTCTTTCATCTTTTTTTTTTTTTGTGTGTGTGTGATTGACTTATTTCACTCAGGATACTGTCCTCCAAGTTCATCCAGGTTATGCAGTGTTTTGCAGATTCTATATTATTCTTTAGGGTTGCATAGTATTCCATTGTATGTATGTACCATAGTTTGGTTATCCATTCTTCTGTTGATGGAGAACTAGGTTGGTTCCATGTTTTGGCTATTGTAAATAGTGCTGCAATGAATATGGGTGTGCACATATCTGTTCTTGTC